ATATGCTTGAATCTTCTATTCGTTTACATAGCTGCTCGATTTGGAGTTCTGAATTACGCCTTGTCATTCCCTCAGTTTATGAGAGGGACGCTATTTTATTTGTGGATTGATTCTTGCATCGGTAAAGATCTTTGACACGCTTGGTCATTGTGACAGCTTATGTATACGGTAGAAATCAGTTCACAAACTAAAATTCGGCTGGATTTGTTATTTGTCTTCTGACTGCAGAATGGCAACATTTAGATGTGAAAATAAATAAATCCTAGAGAAATATCCCCATATCTCGGGGCTCCCGGTTTTTGCTTATAAACCGAATGCGCTCCTTAATGCGAACAATTCTATCATTTAGTAGCACCCAAACGCAGCCAACTAGATCATATCAGACTGAGGAATGATGAATTGAAAATATTTAGCGGACTAGTCTGATTGACTGACAATGCAAGCGCCTTTTTTTCATCATGCCATAGCAAGAATCTTTGGAAGGTATTCTCTGTCTTTTGTTGTTTTTATTCAAAGTGGGCTGTCGTTTTTCACTGTTTTTACTTGTCTTGGCTGGATTAAGGCTTATTTACTCCTCCATGTTTGAAATCTGAGTGTGCAAGTTATTTTTTAAGTTTTAATACAACTTTTTATATTGTTTTCATATGCCGGTGTCTAAGAATGTTAGAGCTCTTTTGAGCGGAGTTGTACAGAACTACTACAATATAATCATTTAGAAGAGAATGCCAGCTTGCTAGTTAAAATACGCTACTAATTAATGAGTATTAATTAATCTGTTTTTTATTTTAATTAGCTTGTGGTTAACACAGAGCCTTGGATTGGTGGAATCCGAATTGTTTTCATCGGGGCCAGGTGCCTAGCAGATAAAGCGCTAGAACTTCTGAAACGATGAGCTATACAACTTGCAATGGGTTAGATTAGAAGTAAGTACATGTCTGTTAGTGTACTTATTTTATTTGTAACCCCTTATCTGATATCTCGTACGTAGACCATCCTTTCGCAGAAGCACTCATCAACCTCATCTGAAATGGAGGATCACAATTTGCTTGCTCACTCATGCTGAAGTAGATGCCATTATTTGTGGAGCAATCAAAATCAACTATGCTGCCTGGATTCGTACAAAGTAGGTTTCGAGGCTAGAACTCTTATTCAAGATCTATAGAGAGAGTATCGGAATTAATTTTAATTGAATGATGCGAAATTTTGTTAATCGAAAATCCAATAATAAATGTTATTTGTGGGAAGCATGACTTGCATTATCGCATAGTGATTATATGTCGAGAAGAAA